CGGCCCCCCCCCCGAGGCCCCCCCCCGGGAAAAACGGGATTCTCCGGACCCGGCCCCGGGGGGGCCCGGAGGGACCCGGAAGTTTCTGACTTCCAGGAAAGCGGGGCCATGCTTAGCCTGAGTTGACCCACCAGGATGCGCATGGGGGCAATATACGGTTGCGAAGAAACGTAGAACTTTATACCCGGCGACGAGAGAAAGATTTATTTAGATTATCTCGATAGAGAGCGGCACAAAACATTGTGAGGATTGACACGCTGAGCTCCGCTCTCTCACACTGTCGCGACCCAGAGTGCCGAGTGGAGCAGAGAAGCACCAAGAGTCGCCACACAGGCGCCCACAACCAACAGGCGGAGCAGGCGGCCCTCTAGACATGCAGCATCCCCCCCTCCTGCGGCGCCCGCCGAGTCCACAGGCACAGTACAGAAATCACGCTGGCGGCGTCGAGCCGTCGGCCTGAGTCGGCTTGCGGCTGCCGTCGGTGTAGATCTCGTCCATGAGCGCGGACACCTCGTCGTTGTCGAGCTCCTCGAACCGCTTCTGTATCACCGCGTTCTCATAGTCGCGGAGCTGCTTTGCATACGTCATGTCCTGCGCAGGGGAGCAGCGCCGCCGCGGGTGAGTTGGAGCGGGCCGGGCCGAGGCACGTTCACGGGACGAGGGCACCTTGTTGGCGACGCGGAACACGTAAGTGGACGTCCACGCGACCGTCCCCAGCCCGACGTACCTAAGGCGGGAGGAGGGAGGCGGCCGGCAGAGTGAGGAGAGCGCGGCGCGGAGAGGGGTGCCGCCCACACGCGTGCGCGCGCGCCCGACAAGAATCACGTTGCCCGCGCCCACCTGGCCGGGGAGCGGGCGGTCACGGGCGTGCGGCGCGGCGCGGGAAGCTTCAGCCAATCTAGAGCTGTGGACTTTGGCGAGCGGATGCCGTCGGGCGGCTCACCACATCCATGCCCATCTGATCCTGGAGGAAGTTGTAGAGCAGGAAGGGCGCCACGATGCCGATGACCGAGTAGAAGACGATTCCGCCCTTGGTTCCTATGTCCAGGAAGAAGGGCAGCCCGCCCCGCCGCTCCTCTGCAGCCACGGGCGCCGCGTGTCGGCTCGGAGCAGCGGCGGCAGCGCGAAGCGGCGAATGCTGTGCGACCACGCCGGGCGCTCGCGGCGGCAGTACCAGCGCTGACGCGCCGCTGCAGGCGCAGAGCAGAAGGCAGCTGAAAGAGGATCGGGCTGGCAGCATGTGCATTCGGGAAGGCTCCTGGCAAGAGAAGAATAACGGGCTGGGCCCTAAGAGGGGACCAGGATTCCAGAAATTGTTGTGTCCCCTCTCGCGTTGCTCGCTCGCCCGTGCGGAGGGCATGGCCGCGGAGGAGGCGAGTACGCGCTGCCAGGCCTTCCACAGACAGCCTCTTGGGCAGACTGAGGGTCGGCTTTGCGTGGCGTAGCCCGTGCGCTGCGCTGCGCAAAGCTGCGTGTGCTGAAGGTGCATCTGGTGCTTCCTTTCGGAAGTGCGCACCTCCTGCAGCTGGTGGAAGGCCGTGCCGCCGCCCGCCTGCTCCGTGGACAGGGCGGGGAGGCGGCACCGCAGCGCCGCAGCGTCCGCTGCACGCCGGTGCAGCACTCTGCTGCCTGGTGGGCAGCATGCTGGTGCTGTGCGCGGTGTTTGCGAGGCGGCTTTGGCGCTGTACTGCCAGCCGAGGCGAGTGGCGCGAGGCACGCGCGGCGCCGCGCGTGGCCCGGACGGAGCCAGAGAACGCGCTCGATGAGCCAGCCGGCGCGGCGCGAGCGCCGTGCAAGCTGGCACATCGTCTGCATGCAGCCGTCAATTCTCTGGTCGACGGCGGTCAATCTCACGATTGTCGATCAAAACCGGCGGGCTTTGTGACGCCGTTTACGCAATCGTTTTTTGGCTTCGCTTTCTCTTTTGCTTGTTTTTATTTCGTTTTTTCTTTTACGAAGCGACGGAGGCGGGGCGGGCGGGCGCTAACTACGGGCAACTACATGTCGAAGGTTCGAGGTCGACTACTCGCCGCCTGGGTCGTTTGGGGCGCGCGGCTCCGTCGAGGACCGGGCGCGCCCCTTTCCCGGCGCGGCGTAGGTCCCACTCTGACGTATAGAGGGGAGCTGCCGAGAGACAGCCGAGAGATCGCCGAGAGATGGCCGAGAGATGGCCGAGAGATCGCCGAGAGATCGCCGAGAGATCGCCGAGAGATCGCCGAGAGATCGCCGAGAGATCGCCGAGAGATCGCCGAGAGATCGCCGAGAGATCGCCGAGAGATCGCCGAGAGACAGCCGAGAGATCGCCGAGAGATCGCCGAGAGATCGCCGAGAGATCGCCGAGAGATCGCCGAGAGTCAGCCGAGAGATCGCCGAGAGATCGCCGAGAGTCACCGAGAGATCGCCGAGAGATCGCCGAGAGATCGCCGAGAGTCACCGAGAGATCGCCGAGAGATCGCCGAGAGATCGCCGGGACC